AAACGTGACGCGGTAGGGTAGTGTAATGTGTGTGTAGGTGGTGTGTAATTGATCTGCAGTCAGAAGTATTATTGAGCGCGTTCGTTGTTATAGCGCGATTGTTGAAGTTGAGTGTATCGGTAAAGTTGTATTCGGAAAGAATAAACCAGTTTTATTAAGTAAAGAATTTGTGTCGCTAAAGTTTCGTCGGAACGAAGTTACGGAAAGTTAATTAACAAACGGAGACGTAACAGTTACATATAGAAATGTATTATATATTAGTAATGTTAAAATTTGCTTGATTTTCAGAAAAATACCTGTATTATGTCCCTTTTAATGAATTGGAACACCAGCTTCATTGATATAAACAGTATTATAGTACAATTTGCAGTATTGGTGGGTTTTTTAACATGACATGCTTGTTGTTTTTTATAATTAAGTATCTTATTGAAAATGGATTAATAGTTGTAGTCTCAAGTAAAGAGAAAATAATCTCCCAACTTAACATTGTTTAAATTAATACTTTTTTTAAGGATGGAAAAATGAGGAGACCAAGTTACACTTCAAATTCCAAAGTATAAAATCAAAGGAAGTTAGAAATAGCTTAGGAACAATCATGACTGATTTTTGATAATACGATGTATTGCAGAAATGTGTTTTTCATCATAAATTTTGTTAACTAACTTAACTTTTAGGCAAATAAAATAGTTAATCTTAAAGTTCAAACAAGAAATTTTAATTCACATATTTAAACCTTTTACTAGACATAAAATTTAATCTCATGCTAAGGAGAGAGGGGATGAATATGGTTCAGGCAGTTTAAAATATTCTAAATGAAAAACAAATTATGGAGAAAAACTTACTCAGAAATTTTTCTGAGTGTTATAGATCAGCACAGAACAATTTATGTAAGTCGCTTTTTGTTTTTGTACTATTGGTAAAAAGACAAAATACTTTAAAACTGGGTTTGAGTTTTGTCTGAACTCTATGTTTTTGATGGCATATATATATGGTAGAATTACATTTTATCTAGCTCATCTAAAGTACTTTGTAATTACCACTTGTGTAACTACAATCTAAGTACTTTTAGTGGCTGAGAGAGAATATCAGTATGCATTTGTGCAAAACATTTTTTAATACAACTTGAGAGTTATTACACATTAAGTTTCTTTTTTTTTCCTAGGTATAGAATGAAACTTAAACATTTCTAATCAATAGAATGTTTAATTTTATGCACCTGATGATCTAGATGTGATAAATTTTATGGGATTTTAATATCTGTTAGTTTGCATTTTGCTTTTTTCTAAAAAATTTAATAAAATAGCATTACAATATTATTTTACAAGTTTCATCTACATGCACCAAAGAATTTTTACATTCCAACTTGTTTTTCCATCAAAATTCCAAATTTTCTTTTAAAAACCCATAGAACTGTTATATATTTTACCTATATAGGTATTCAGCCTGGTCTGTACATGCCTCAATCCAGTGCTCGTTCTGCTCCTACTCCTATGGATTCAAACTACTTCAAGGAGTCTTCTAATGACAAATTTTTAATGGTATGTGTAATAATACTTATGTGTAACAGATCAGCTTTTAAAACACTTCAGAAACTTTTGCTACATATAGCACTCTTTTAAAATGAGTTTAATATTTCACTGTTTTAATTGCTATAGCACTTACTTTGTTTACTTTGGCACTAAAAAAAAAGAGAGAAATTACTTTTCTTACTTTCATTATGAATTGGACAATTTTTTCATATTCCTTAGTTTACATTTTATTACATCTTTTATTGTTTTACCAACTATTAAGGTAAAGTATAACTACTTAGGTTTTTATTTGAAAAAATTACTACTTGTACTCAGTTCAAAACTTAACACAAACAGTATTTTCATGAGCTTTTATTATATGCCATGTATAGAAACTACAGCGAGGAGAACAAGAAGACATTGCTGGTTCATATTTTAAGCCTAAAAGACAGGAACAGTTGCTCAGCAAGTTTCAGAAAGATGCTAATCGAGTGTTTCGTAAGTTGGATCAATCTGTGTTATAGTATACAGTAATTATATTACTAGTTTATGTTTGATGCATTGTTTTTCATTTGTTTGATATGTTCATAGGTACAGTTTGTGCTGTGCCTATCTCGATTGACAAATTTGAAAAATATTTTTTTGCTTTAATCTTAATTTTATGATCTCACTTGAAACCTCTGTAATACAATTTATTAATAGACTTTTAATGATGTGCAAAAAAAATGTATAGCATCAATATTATTTATGCATCATTCTTAAAGAACATGGTTGCTTACTTGCCATTTAGAAATATTGTCACTTCAGTTGAAGCAGTTAGCTTATTACTAATGAATTATCTTAACTGTTCTATAAGTTATAATTCCAATATGGTACATTATCTCAGCTCACATAAATAGCTATTCTCGTTCAGTGCTGCCCTTTATATACAAAAATATTTTTACGCATGCCACAATCTCTATTTCCCCTCCATTGGAATTGACTGACTTCAATGAATCTCTCATACAAATCATAATGCATCAACCCTCCACCAATAAGAGTGTGACATACTCTCATGATGCATGTGACTCCTCTAGTCAATTCTACCGAACTATCACTTCTCATTTGGCACCACTCCTGTTCAGACATTTTTTCTTTTGTGTGAATCATGATTTTAATAGTTTAATTTCCAAAGTCGAATTTCTTCATTATTATTATTTTTGTCACATTCACATATTTTACAAACACTTTTGCTTGATTTACGTATTTCTACAATGAATTCTGAGATTCGTGTTTCCACTTCAGGTGTTATACCTCTAGCACTATTTTCATAGGCTGCAGGTGGGGGAGACCCGTAGTTGGATTTCTCTGCTATTATTCATCATGAGATTGATCATTATATGGGTCAACCTTATTTTTCCTGAACAAGCCAAACCTGTTCAGGCTGATGATTTTGCAGTGTTTTTCCCTACCCATTCTGCTGAGTCAGCTAGACCTAATGAGGCATTTTTCAACATGATTTCTCAGGTATGTTATGTTTTATCTAATTCCTCGTTTTTCTATGATTCCTTATTACCTCCATGTTGACTCTGTCATATTCGGCTTTCACTTTACACACGTGGTTCCACTGTAATTGGAATTTTGTGGGTCATGATGCATCCTTGTCCAGGCTATGTTTGCTGCCTCTTGCTTTTTGGGATTTCTTTGGTAATATGTTTTCTATCATATATCTGAGACTTTGGAATCTCGTGTGTAATCTGTGCATCAACGCTCAACCCTTTTCTCTATGGTTGCATGTTTGTCACAGTTGGAGCCATAACATACCCCAATTCCATTCATGTTCTGGTCTTTATCTGACCCATCCCTGTCCCATTTCCAGGAGTTTCTCATCTCATTATTTTATTCCACAATGATGGGCATGTTGCCAACAGTATCAGAGACTAGCCATAGTGTTCCAGTCCAGTGGGAGCTTGACTATATTATATTGTTACCTTTTGGCAATCTTTAACTACAGTTCCATGGGTTCTTCAGGTTTTATCAGAGGAACTTGTCCTACTATTTCTTTCCCTACCTTCTTTGTCCCTGGTACCCTTTTTTCTTCTCCATGACTTGGGATCCTGCCACCAGCCTGCATCTATCCAAGGAGGTACAAGATTTTTTGTCTCAACAGGCCATTGCACTTGTTCGTCATTGTTTTCCAGGCTGTTTATTGTCCTCACGCCAAACCAGAGACTGGTGGCCTATACCAGGTTTATCCTGCCTTATTCTAATTTTCAATCTGACCCATTTTACCTTAGAGTCGTTTCTCACCCTTAGGTGCGCTTTTTCTCCAGGTATTATTGATGGCAAAGAAGAATGTTGAGAATTATTATTTGCATATCCCAATATTTTGTTATTTGTGACCCTCTCTTTGGTTTATTCTTCACAGGATGGTTTTGCTGTTTCTTGCACTGCTCTTCAGACTTATTTCGGCCCTGTATGTTTTGTTGGGCATTCAGAGCATTCGTTTGTCTCGTATATGCTCTCGGGTTGTGCTTTCTCCTTTCTTTGATCATCTGGCTACTGTTTGCTTGTTCCAAACAGGAATCCACCTGTTACCCTTATCAGCTGCTCCTGGAGATAGCTATAATGGGCTATTAATCAAGTTGGAGAAGTTCTTACTGCAACCTATCCAATATCTTGTCCATTTGGGTGTTTTACTTTTTCTACACTAGACACATATCAGTCGGGCCTACTTTCCTCCTAATCGGCTTTGTTCAGTGGGTTTTCAGTTTAATTACAGCTTGCAAAGTTCTATTGCTTTTGGGGATGTGTTCTTCCATGGCAGCTCTTATCCCTTTAGGTCAGGCTCATATGCTGGCTCTTTTGTGGGCTTTTCGTGACCAGTGGAATTTTGCAAGAATCCTTTGTCAGCTGTTATTACCCTTCCTCCTACCCTTGTCATCGATCAGTGTTGGTGATTAGATATCACTCACATATCAGCGGGTGTCCCGGTTCCTCCTCCTCCTCCTCTGGTTTTCCACATTTCATGGATGCATACCTTTGGGGATGGAGTGTGTGGTTTGATTAACTGAAAGATTTAGGGTTTATGGTCTGCGGCCAAGAGATCTTATCTTACCAATGTCCTGGAGCTTCTTGCTGCATATCATGTTTTGGTTCATTTTCTCCATCTGGCCAGAAATCGTCTGGTAGTGATACATTCCAACTTTTCTTTAGTGGTTGCTTATCTCAATCACCAGGGCAGCACCCGTTCTCCATCCTTCTCTATTCATACGTTGGATCTTCTTTTTGGACCCACACGCTCGATATTCCTATCATTGCATGTCATGTTCCAAGTGCTTTTACTCTTGTTATGGATCGGATTCCTGTCCAGACAACATTTATCCGATGGAGTGGTCTCTCAATCCTCAGTCTGAGATTTTCCGGTGGTCCTCTCCCACACCTTTCATTTTTCCCGATCCCATAGGTATTTACCTCTTCTACACTTTACCTGTGGATGTGTTCCTTTCAGATGTCATCAGCTGTGGCAGGTTGCCCGTCCGGATGGGAATATTAATGTGGTTCTCACACTGCCTCACTTCACCTAGGTTTAAACCACTCTCCCAGTGCTTCTTGTTTCACTTTTCCTAATGTTTTCCTTCCTTCTCCTATTCAGCTGTGGACATCAGTGGTCTGTTTATTTGCTATCAATATTTCACATACTCTTTATCCTTCTTTATACCTTCTCCTTTCTGTGGATTGTTTTTACTCCCTAACACTTCGGCAGCTCATAAGGATAACTTTTCCATTTAGCTGCTTTCCCTTCCTTCTGTTTCACACCTTTAACCTCACTCTGATCAAGAAATACTTTTATGTCTTGTATGTGCTTCTCTCTGTTATATTACCTGCATGGCTTTCTTCTGTGGTATCCGTTCCAACCTCTTTATCCCTTGGCAACTGTCCTCTGTTTATGTTCTTTCTCCTTCCTCCTTCACCAGTTGGGTTTGGCTCTTCATCCAAATGGCTTCTTCCTCTTTATCATCTTCCTCACTTACTTTGTACCAAATGTCTTCTCACCCAATTTCACACCTTACCTTTTCATTGGCATTTCATCTTCACTGCCCTTTGGAGGTACTTCTTCAATCAGGCATTTGGACTGCCCATGATACGTTCGACTCTCACTATATGCATCGGATAGTGGTTTTCTTCCTCTTCGGGTTATCATCTTCTGCCTGTAGCCATTTTAGAATATCAGAATTCAGTGAGACTTTGACTGGGTAAGTTTTTTTTCTTTTATTATTCCATTTCAGGGGCCCTTTTATTCATGCTCATTGTTTGGATCCCACTCTGTGGCGAGTGGTGCCTGACCAGGTATTCTTTAACTGTTCAAATCCACACTATCAAGCCATGTCGACTTGCATATTATAATTCTATGGCCATGCAAAGCACACTGCAGAGATGGGGTGTTCCACAAGATCGCTTGTAGGTTTATCCTTACAATATGATTGTTTCATAAGTTTGCTTGTCCCAGACCATAATCACCCATGGACTACATGGGTAAAACAGAAGGGGATAGCTGTCCATCCCTGCCATGCCTTGTATTGAATAAATAGTTATGGTCTGCTTTTAAAAATAGGGTTTTATGGTCACCCATTACACTGTCTTAGGTGTTGTTGTTCCTCTTGATTCTCCAATGCGTTTCCCCCCCCCTTTTCTTCTAGTGGAGTTTGAGAGTCCTTACCACTTTCCTGTCCCAAGCTGCTGGGGTGGTGTACCATAGAGGCATCCTTCTGAATGGGTTTATGAAATACAAACAAAAAATATAAATTATTATAAAATCATTCAGTTGAGAGTAGAGCAGTGGTTTTCTGCTGGTATAATAGATGGCATGATATCCTCCAATCTGAAACATAAAAACGAAGGGGAGTGAGATGTCAAAATTGCAGTTCATCCTTTCTATTTGGATCCCTCATCCTACCCCCATGTGGCCAATCGGTTCCCAGTGGCTAGGTTTTGGATTTAGAGTAGAACCAATCAACATAGGTCCTCACTCATGTATTATAGATATCTATATTCCTCCCTCATTTATGCTCCATCAGTGTTGTGGGGGTAATTGCAGATTGTTATGGTTCTTTCTCTCCCACTATCCCTCAATGTTTCTTATTCCGAGGATGTTAATGTGCTTGGGGTGGTTCTGGTCAATTTCACTTTTGAAGGAGATGGTTTACATTATGTAGACATCTTTTTGATACCGGATGTCGGGTTCCCGGATCAATCTATCAATTTATCATATTCACGTGTGCCCTATTCATGGGTTAGAGGGGTACTAGATTCCCTCCATTTTCATGAACTTGAGGTGAAGAAGTATGATCCTCTTTCCTACCCTCACATGGATGTTGGTTCCTGGTGGTCTGGGTTTTGGATTGTTGTCAGTTTGCCAGTGGTATGATCCTCTTTCCTACCCCCAATTGATGTCAGTACCCAGTGGCCAGGTTTTGGATTGTAGTTGACTTACTGACAGTATGATCTTCATCCTACCCCTGCATGGATGTCGGTTACCAGCGGCATGGTTATAAATGTAGTTGACTTGCTGTGTACGATCCATCACGCCCTGGCCACACTACACCTAGGGGCACACCCTTTTCATTTTACCCACTTGTATAATTTCGGGAATGGAGTTTCATAAATATTGCATGGTTTAGATCACTTTCTGGCCATAGTTCTTTCCCAGTCAGATGTGCTCCTCTGTTTTCCACCCGTATATGCAACATATATCTAAAATTGGTGAACAATATACCTGGTTCAGAAGTGGTGTGGTTCCCCACATCAGATCTTAGAAACTGACTGTCTCATCTTAGAGAATGTCCTTTGGATGCTTTCAAAGTATGCTTCTTTCCTTCCCTCACACCAGTCCCTCTGCCAATTCATTGTGGGATTCTAGATATTTATGTGAGAAGAGGTAATGTACTGTATCAGAAGTTATAATTTTCCTACACTGAAAATGTATTTCCGATAAGTAATTATCTTCTTTCACACTTCCTGCCCTTCCTTCCCACTGAAAACTGATGCTTCCATCTTCTACCAAAACTCGAAGTGATAGTTCAGTAGAATTGAATAGTGGGAGTCACATGCGTCATGAGAGTATGTCGTACTCTTATTTGGTGGAGGGTTGCCACATGATGATTTGCATGAGAGATGTGTTGGAATCAGTCAATTCCAATGGATGGAAGATAGAAGGCTTGTGGCATGCATATTTTTTTTTTACATATAGAGGGCAGAACTGAACAAGAATAGCTATTTATGTGAGGAGTGGTAAGTACCTATCAGAAATACATTTTCAGTGTAGGAAAATTATATCTTTCATGCTTTTACAAAAATGGTGAGTTATTAATATTGTTATTTCAGTGTTAATACCAATTTATTTACCTAATAGAAGCTATCTATTTTGCCTTTAATTGCTGTTGTATGCATTGTTTTTCAATCTACAGAAACCTCATGTTGAAAAAAAAAAATAGCTAAGCATTCTCTTTCAAATTTATATAATTTCAACAAAAAGGATGATTCTATAATATATTGTACTGATCCATAATAGGTTATTGTTTCAGAAGTTACTTGACAGCCAAAATACTACCACTTTGGGAACTTCTTGATATAGAAGTTAGAGTTAATTTATTGTATCTGATTGTCAGATAATAATGTAATGAGGTACAAATCCCAGATTAATTCAACCAATATATATATGATTAATTTTAATGCCTAAATATAAATCTGTTTTTATTCTTAAATACTTTTGTACTTGTAGGTTTCTTAAACAGTGTGAATAATACAAAACACTACAAAAATGAAAGCAACAATTGTCGATGTCCCTAATCCTTTAATGACTACTTTCTCAAAATGTTTACATTTTATATCAATGATATACTTACTTTATTTCAGAAGTGAACTGATGTTTAAAATAATCATGGTTATTAATGTACAAAAAAACATTTTTTAATTTGATCACATTCATAACTTTTCATTTAAAAATGGGAGAATTGCTAATTTATTTATACCATTGGCAAGTTTTAGTACTGTCTTCAATTATCTAAGTGTAATTATTATTTAGTAACTGATTTTTTTTTTTATAGTTTTCTTTCTTTCTTTTTTTCTCAGCTACTCGAGAAACTGGCTCACATTTTCTAAATTCAAACTCAAACAGAGAAGCCTTTGGAGGCTTTCAGTTCTCTAAACTCAACAGCAATCTGTCCAACTCATTACCAGCCATTTGTTTATCAGAACCTATGGGCCCTGAAGTCCGAAAGCCTACACGTCTAAATGCTCTCCCTGTCACCCTTGAATTGGAGAAAAAAGCAAGTAGAAGATTAAACAAGTCAAATGATGATATTCTGGACTGGACCATTTGACAACTTCCTATCCCCAGTGAGTTTAGGAGACTCAGTACTTTGCCTCCAATACCTTCAAGTAAATGTGAAGTTACAAATAAATCAGATGATACTACTACTAATATTATAAATCAGCCATAAATACTATATCAAGCTAGAGACATCTTTAGTTCACTCTCATGTCAAGTCTTCTTTTTCTTGGGGTTTCTTATTATTAATGGCCAGTTTAGGCTATGACATGAGATAATGTAGTTTTGTTTTGTTTCTTATTTAAAAAAAACAAACAAACAAAAAGCAAGGAGATGCAAGACATCTAGGAAACCCACTTGTATCAGATTTGCCTTTTTGACTGTGATATATATATGCATCTACAATTATATATTTATAAAGCAAATAATATGTGTTATTAGATATACAAAACCATCGCTTAAATAATGTATATTTAACTCCCTTAATTCACATACAGTTTGTATTTTTGGTAGATGGTGATGATGACTGCAGAAATATTTTTAAAAAGTGTTATTTAGATTATTAATTATAAAATCTATCTTTACTTGTGTTTTTCTATCAAAAGGATAAGTGTTCCCTGTCAATCTTGATTTAAGATCACAAGTTTTACGTGTAAGTCACTATAGTATGCTGGAGATTTCAAGATTTAAACAGTTTAAAAGTGATAAAGGTTAGTACTGCAAGATAGAATGCTGTTATCCAAACACAAACCAAATATCATTGAGGAATGATACTAAATTTCTATCTTACTTAAAACTAGAACTCTTATGTGCAGGAATTCATTTGAAGTTAGTGTTCTTAATTGAAATATGATACCCTTGTTGCATGAGTAATGGCATTAGAGTACAATAAACACTAATCACTGTATGTTGTAATCCTGTTTTTTTATATTGGCAAAACTGGAAAATTTAACCTTGAAATCTTTTATGCTAGTATATTAATCTTTAAAATAGAGTTTTATCACAGTATTACTGCTGTTTATTGGTTGATTTTCACTGTTTGCCTTTTTTTAAGGACTTACATCATAGAACATTTTAAGGTAGTCATAATAATTAGCATACATCCCTGTTAAAGGAGATACTAATCCCCTTAATTAGTAGCCACAGCTCTGTTTGAGATGAAGTCTACTGTGTCAGAGGCATTATTCTTTTCAATGCTTGATCTTTAACTGTTTTACTGACATTTCATTATGTGTGAACTACCTTTCTGAAAATATACTGTAAACCAACTTTTTCATTCCACATTTCTGCTTTGAATCAGTCATGCTCCTTGCATTCTACCAGGTGGTTAGGGTGCTTGACTCACAATTTGGGGTTCGTGGGTTCGAATCACCATCCCACCAAACATGCTCACCCTTTAAGCCATGGGGGCATTATAATGTCATAGTCAATCCCACTATTCATTGGTAAAAGAATAGCCCAAGAACTGGCAGCGGGTGGTGTTGACTACCTGCCTTCCCTCTAGTCTTTCACTGCTAAATTAGGGATGGTTAGCACAGATAGCCCTCATGTAGCTTTGCACAAAATTAAAAACAAACAAACAAATCTTACATTCTGAATTTTATTTTTTTAATTCTAGTCATTCCAATGCTTTTTGTTTGCATGAAGTTTCCTGTACATTGTATTTTCCCTTTTGTAATTCATTAAGAAATGTCAGAGTCCCTTTAGGAGCATTCCAGTCATATCTAGTTAAGAGTTAGATGCTGGTTTCATCCATTCCACGAGTTGTTGCCCTCAAAAGTACGACTCTTCCTTGTTCTAGTTTTCTTTTTCTTTTTTTGTCAAATTTATCTACAGTTTTATTGAAATGTCATTTTGAAGATCATTTGTTAGGGTTCTCTGCAACTCCTTTTTATGTGCATTACAAAAAAAGTTAATTTGAACCTGTTATTTACTCTTTAAAAAAGAAAAGACTACTAACTTTTAATCTCAGTATCATGATCTCAGATGTTTCCAGTTATTTATCATGAACAATATCTGTTCAGTGGGGATTTTAATCAATCTCTTAATGAGAGCTCAGTTTATTGAATCTCATTTCTGTTGAGGTTATATATGTATATAAATGAATAAATAAATATTTATATATATACAAAAACACAAATAATTACGCATTGTTAAATCACACATATATATATATATATGTAAATTAGGATTATTAATAGTTCAGTTATAAATTGATGTATTTCTTTACATCTCTAACTGTGATATTTTGGAGAGTACTATATTCAAGAAGCAAGGCTTAACTAAATTTACTGCACATTTACACCTTAAGAGTAATGAAATTGATCCACAACACAGGAACATAAAGATGATTTTAGAAATTATAATTTTGTATTAATATTAAATGTGTCACTCTATTTTGCTAGCTACATATTCTTCTCTGTAACATTTACATGATATATTAGTCCCCATACAAATCATTACAATAAACAAGATTGCTTGGTCAAGAATATCAAAAACATATTGATTTTATACCATTATATTTTGCTTTATACTCAAGAAACATTGACAATAGTGAATTTCAGTTGCAAGTTAATTACAGAAGAGTAGAGGCAGCCACTTAGTGAACAGATATAGCTGCCTGATTATTTGCTTGTTCATGATTTGAATTTGTGATTTTGTGTTGTGTGAAGGATATCGTTAATCAAAGCCTTATTTTTTTGTTAGATTGTTAAAAGTAATTAAAGAAAAACTTTGGTATTCCCCATAACTTTGTATAAAAGTATACATTCTGTTACTTTTTCATATGAATGAGTGTTAGTAAACCTACACTTGTTCTTGTAAATTATTTTGTAGATCTTAGGTACAAATATATGAATCCACATAATTGTAAATATATTTTTGCTTTTTTTAAGAACTTGCCTCATTATTTTTATGTCTTTTATCCTTTCCAAGAAAATAAAATGTGACTCAATCTATATATACTTTCCAGAATTTTAAGTGTATTTTTTATGTTTGTTTTCCAGTACATAAATTGGAAAGGTTATGATTAAACTGATGTCATTGTTTTTAAAAAAAAAGAATGTATAGTTGTGACATATGAGTATTTATCACTTTGATTTTGATGACACCTTTTCTGTTGTTTCAACATGTTCTACTCAAAGAAACAATCATATAAAATGTTATGTATGTATTTTATAATCAGAGAAGCTACGTTTGTGTTTCTGCTTACTTTTGTTGTTAATTTTAAAATGAACATGGAGGTTTAGAATCACAGTTTTTAAGATTGTGAAAAATAACCCTGTGAAATCTGCAAAAAAAAAAAGAGAGAAGCAATTAATTGAAACCTCACTAAAAATTTAAAATGTACAGCTACTATTGTCACTTATGATATTCCAAGTTAGTTGCTTTTATCAAATCTATTTGCTGTTTTATTGTTTCAGTGCAAACTCATAACAGTAATTTTATGTTAGATTTATGTTGTTGTTTTTCCCAAAAATGAAAAAAAATTTTTCAAAAGTCAATCATTATTCTGATTATTCTATTTTTAATTAATATGAATGCTAATATTATGTGACTGATGACAATGTATCAAAATAATATTATTTTGTGCTGCAGATAATTTTTGAATGATTTACTGAAATGTTATTTATTTTTCTGAAAAATTCCATAACTGTCACGGATGTTGGATACTATTAATTGATATGCTTTGTTGAAAGCTTTTAAGCCAAGCATGCTATTACTGTAACAGTTAAACTATACTATCAGAGAATTATTGTTTTGAAGTATAGATAAATTTATTTACCAGATTAATTTGTTTTTAATTAACATTAGTTAACTGAAGATAAAAGTATTGTCAGCATTCACTATACATAAACTTACAATTACCAACAGAAAATCAAATACATTACTTAAAGACAGTTAAAGTAGAATATATTTTGCTTAACATGATCTTCTTTTAGTGTAATCCATTTTTAATAAATTTCACAGACAAATGGAACATTTTTACTCTCTAAGCAAGTGGCACAGTTGTCTTGAGTTATTGCAATGTATAATACTAGTTTCAAGCAAGTCCCAACATATCATAAACACAGCAGACGATAAGCATCCATAGGACTAATCTTTGTAAATAATGAGTTATAGTTTAACTAAGATTATTTTTTTTACACCAAATGTGTTTATTTTTTAATTTTGGAACTTTTCACATTGAAGAGTTAGGTGTACCATTTTTCATTATGGTTTTACTGTCATGAAAGTTTATTCACTTGTACATTTGAACATTCTAGATTCATCAGTAATCAGTAAAAGGAAATGTATACTTTGAAAAGTTTTAGAGTTGATAAAAGTACAGTCAAACACTTAAGCATCTTATTAACTGTTGCAAAGCCTTAGTAGTGTAAATATTTAAACTGTTAAATCACCCAAACATTTTGAAGATCTATACTAAATTTCATGATTAATATAGTAATCATGTACTATTTCTGTTTCAAACTGAACTACAGATTACCTAGTGATTATATTTTTACACATCTGAAACAAATAATGGTTTTTAAAAGAGATGATGTCTATATAATAAGTATTCCATACAATGTAGAACTTGTACGTACATTTAGGCAAAAATCTTTTAACTTGTTTCAAAAAGTTTGTCACTAGTAATTTATTTGTAATTAGGCTTGTAAGTTAATTGGATCTTTAATTATTAAACTGTAATCATCCATTAAGTTTCCAAAACATGAAAGTATTAAAGTTGTAGTAATGTATTGCTATTTGTATTCATATTATTGAAGAAACTTATACATACTCCAATATGCAAGCATTTAATTCACCAATTACACATACTTATACAATACAATGGAGGATTAGATTACCTCTATATTGCATACTAGCAGCATTGCCAGGGTTTTCGAAAAAAACCTACTCTGTTCCCCATTTCATATTTCGATAGATAAAATATATTTTGTGAATTTATGAAGAATGAAGAACAACCTTAGGTTTGATTTTTGAAGATAAACTGTGAACCTGTTTTAAATTAGGGCTACCTTATGAACCATGTGGTTTGTTTTTCCTTCACTGGATAAATAGGCCCTTATGGAGAATATTTAGATTATCTTATACTAGTTCTAGCGAACAGGATAAGCCAATTCTACCCATCATCCTTATTTGAATATTGTTACGTCTCCGTTTGTTAATTAACTTTCCGTAACTTCGTTCCAACGAAACTTTAACGACACAAGTCTTTACTAAAACGGGTTTATTCTTTCCGAATATAACTTTACCGATACACTCAACTTCAACAATCGCGCTAAACAAACGCTATAACAACGAACGTCAATAATACTTCTGACTGCAGTTCAATTACTCACTATCTACACACACACTACACTCCCGCGTCACGTTGTCCCCTCTTATATATACCCGCCTACCCCATCTAGCAACCACTAGAGCATTCGCCAAAGTACATGATAGTTCTAGAAACGTTGCGTCACAGTAGTCATGTGACTCGATGACGCAACAATATTATCGTAGTAAATAAATTAACTTCTCTGTCATAGGAAAACCTATGTTTTAAAATAGAAAAGGAAAACTTTTTCGGTTTCCTTTTGCTTTCAATTCACTAAGACAAATAACACATTTGAAACAAGGATTATGTAATTATTCCAACTACTCTGGAAACTTAATATTGACAAAATATTTGGATGTATTTTGTAAAAATTTCTATTTAAAGCCTAGTGTTATAGTTACTTGCTTTTGACAAAAGAAACATTAACCATTTATCAAGTTTCTGTATTACTAAGAAGAAAATTGTGAACATCATGATGATAAGTGCTTGAAAATGAACTGAATAGATCAATGAAGATTGTGCTTGTAATCAGTGAACCTAAAAAAAAAGTTCATTTTTACGAACAAGATAGAATGCGTAATGTCTTATCACATTAACGCATGTGAGCTTTTTATTTGATTGCTGTTGTTGTTGTATGAATGTTTTACATTTTCGTCCAGATATATTTAGACCTTTCTGTCTCAATACTGTTATTTTTATTTAATCAAAACATTTAACATTGCAAAAACAATCAAGTCAGAATAATAAGAACAACCATTTAAAGATGTGACTTTATAAAAACTAGCACAGTTAAATAAACGTTGTAAAGATGTCATGTAAAAGTGAGATAAACTAGATTTGGTCCCCGTTTTTATTGTAACTGGAACAAGCAGATATCTGTTTGAATGTCATGTTACTTTAATACTACAAAACAGCAAAAAGACACACGGTAAAACAATGTTATTTTTACCACTCTTTGAAAAATGATTTCTCAAACATATAAACTGGCGTAAAACATATGACACGTTATTTAAATATTTATAACGAATAGCGTTGCATCCGAAGTAGGATTTTAACCCAATCTGTCAG